GTCCTGCTGCTGGTTGCCTGGGAGAAGAGACCAACCCCCGCCTGACTCCAACCTCCTGTCAGGGAGTGGCAGAGGGTGATAAGGTCTCCCCTGAGCCTCCTCTTCTCCAGGCTGAACACCCCCAGCTCCCTCAGCCTCTCCTCATGGCACTGGTGCTTCAGTCCCTTCACCAGCCTCGTTGCTCTTCTCTGCACCTGCTCCAGCACCTCAATATCCAAAGATCATATCTGCACTAGAAGACAGCGCAGAAAATAAAAACACTGGTTCAAAAGTAACAGCTTAGTTCACAACTGCAGATACCCAGGCATTGTGTTCTTCACAGTGTGACTTAGCAGCCTAAGTGCCACTAATTCATTAACTGTGTGCCCATTAGAAATCCATACCAGCAGTAAGGAATTGCAGATTGGAGCTTTAGGCAGAGAGCATTGAAAAGCTCATATGACTTACACTTCTGCTGTAGCCTGTGTATATCATAGAATTCCTTTCAGAAATTTTTGTGCACCCTTAAAATCACTAGAGTTCTTTTTCCCACAGTCTTGTTTGGAGGAGATACTTCCACTAACTCAGCCTAAATGTTTTCCTGTTTGCTGCTCTACCAAAACATTCCTCTCTCAGGGAAGTTATCTATTGGGATGAGTTTTCTCTCCTGGGACTTTACAGATTCTAAGCACAGAAGGAGGTTGTCATACATCTTTTCAGTGGCTGTTTTATGTAGTCTAAAGAAATTGTGCTGCCTCAGGCATTTCATGTTGGAATCCACTCCCCTGGTTATATTAAAGGCTTTTCCAGTTGGGAGTTCTCTTCTGTGAATGCTGTAATCAAGCTTGTATACCACTGCTACTGCAAGAGAGAATCCTGATGTTTTATCGCACTGATCAGATAGTAATTCCTCATTGTTTCTTTGGTCTCCTTTTTATGCTGGAGCTTTTGGCCATTTCATGTTGCTGAGCTCCTGGCTTACCCCTGAAGATACACACATTCATTCTGTTATTTCAATTGATTTTATTATTCCAAGTCTTATATGTGTTCTGACCTTATCTTCCAAAATGTTAGTATTTCCTATTTGTATGTCATCTGTTGTGATGGGAAATCCATCAGTTTGGTTTTCAGAAAAAATCAGCTGATAAGCTCTCAGTTGTGCAAGTTTCTTACCCATAAACAACCTTCTGTTGTTACTCAGCCAAATATTTTACTAATGACCATCTTTTGCACCTTCCACTAATGAACTGAGCAGCCTTTATATCAAATGCTGAACTCCAGATAAATGAGAATTTTTCTAGCCAAATGAAGTGCAGGATATTGCATTAACAGAAACTATATATCCTAAATTTAGTCTTTGACAGAACTATGTGTCATCATCATGTGTTCTGCTCTCTTCAATACTTGACTGAAAGGCACTTCATAGTACCAGGTGAAGACTGTCCTACTGGTTTGTTCTCCAGCTGAGGTTTTGTTTTTTCTTACCAACAAATTCTACACTTACTTTTTTCAAATAGTAGCAGTAGGTATTCGGTATTTCAAGTGGCCCATTAATCTCTATAATTAAAATAGAGATTTGCCATTTGCTTCCACATCAGCTGAGATGATTTTATATAAGCTGATTTGGCATCACTCATCCATGGTCATGTATCTGTCTTGTCTCTGTTCCAAGGGGTAGTACTGCTTACATGGATTAACTCTGAAGTGAAAAGTTCACCCAGTTGGACTGTGTGGAGATCGTTACCCATCTCTAGCACTAGGCACTGTTTTTCTTGTAATAGCCTCTCAACCCTCACCCTTTTATACAGCCAAATCTTCAGGTTCTGTTTTAATTTCTTGTGGTTTATCAGAGGGCTCCTTTTCTCAAACTGGCAGTCTAGTTCCAGGGCACTCATATTTACAATGCCATTTAATATAGACATCTGACCACAAATACTAAATGCTTATTAAGACCAGTTCCTTTAAAGTCTGTTGTTATTTATAAAAGTCAAGTGTAAAATCCAGACTATTGCCTTTATGCACAGCAAATTTGTTTATAGATTGACTATATGACTGTTCCTCAGTGTTTATAAGCAGATGGAGCTTATGCCAATCTTCTCCCTGTACAATTTCGTGTTATGGCACACTCATTCTTTTTTCTTTTCCCCTTCTTCTCTTCTATTTCCTATAACTGGCCAGAAATTATGAAAAGTGTAGGTTTCTTGGTATCAAGATTGCCTGCTTGTCTCAAATATGACTTTATTTGTTCATTACATCATATCTTTTTTTGTCTATGAACCTCTCAGCTTGATTGAGTCTCTTCAGCAGTGTAAGAAGCAATAATTATATTGTTCTGTGGAAGAAGAAAGTTATTTTTGTCTGCATTATTATCCTTAAAAGTGACCCAAATCTGTTGACTAACACTGCTCTAAACAGTGGGACCTTCAAGAGGACATGTATTTCTGTAACCTCCAAAAAAAATCCCTTTTCCAAACAGATTATAGTTGCTAAACCAAATCTGCAATAGAATATTAGTGTCAAGTCCAAGTTAAAACAAATGGGACTTGTAGTTAACACTTCAGTTAATGATTCAGAATTCTTTTGCCTTTTCAGTCCTGTTTAATGCCTGTAGTGAATATGGCCCTTTGCTAAGGCTAATCAAAGCAAACTGCAAATTTTCTTGCACGTGTACACACATTTGCTCTCAGATGCTTGGGGCCAACTTGGAAAAGAAACAACGAGGAAGAAAATTACTTGTTTGAGGTGAAACTCCTGTCCCTGTGTACAGTGAAAGATATCTAAAAGAGAAGCAATGATTGTGTTTTATTTCTGTTGACAGAAATGTTGGAAATAAGTTTTTCCATTTCGAAACTTCTGGCAGTCTTTGTTTCTGATTTGTGTCTACAGGTTGCTGTAAGGTGTATAAAAAAGGCAAATCAAGGAGGTAGCTGGAAATGGATGAAAAACTGTAAGGAAAGACTGAAATTTCATTTATGAGTTTTAATGAAGGCTCACTGAAAATGCAGTTCTCTGGCCAGTTCCCACTTAATCACCTGATGACTTTGATTAAGATGCAGTGTGAGATCAGACCCAGCATGAGTTTCGCTTTGAGGAGTTAAAAATCTCATCACTGTGCTCTACAGCTTCCTTAATACATGTGCCTTTATCCTGTATATTTTGGTATCCCAAAAATAGGGTGGTTTTTGGCAGTTGCAGTAATTAGCAGGGAGAACAGCACACTCAGCAAAAAAAGATGTGGAAAGCTGCATAAACATTCATGAAGTATTGAAGGATTTTTGTCTTTTTTAATAAACTGCCAACTCTTACTTTTAATGAAGATCGAACTATATTGTAATTTTTCTCCCCATATTAACTAGTTCTGTGTATTGCAGTCACATTCATTAAATGTTTCAGACCAACTTGATGTATATTAGTTTGGACAAATTGTATTCACAGACCTTTGATTTTGAAAATAAATTTAATACAGAGCCAAGAAGAAATCAATGAATAAGCATGTGTGGGATAAGAAGCACAAAGAAAAATAATTATGTTGTACACTTTAGACCAAATCCTGGCCTTGTATGTGAGTGTGAGTTGAGAGAAGCCAATTTACTTATTTATTTTGCAGGAGCTTAGTTGCTGAGGACTTTTAGATGGCATGTAATTAAAGCTAGTTTTTCCAGAGTCTTCTGCTGGTTGCTACACTTGTTCTGTTCCCTTTTATCTTACACTGGAGAGAACCTTATGTATGTATTGTATAGTATATATAATAGTTTAAATTACATTGATGTATAATTTAAATTTATCATGTAGTTACACATCATGTAGAAATTTGAACCAAGTAGTGTTTTAGGATTGCCATTCTCTTTAGGCAGGTCTGGATTTAGTCTAATAAATCTAAATGTAATAGAGAACCAGGACAGAATACCTTATTCACTAATAAGCTGCTTTTAAACTTGAACATTTGAGAGCTTCAATGTGCATTTAACCTCCTACACTTTCTGTGAGTCAGACGTTTTTTACCTTAATGTAATTTTTTTGCATAAAGTAATGATCTTCCCACTCTGTGATGGGAAAATTTATATTAACTTGAAGTCTGAGAGATGTGAATAAAATGTCCACCTACCTGCTGAGTCTAGCTTATATTTTAGTTTTGGGTTATAACACAGATATGAGAACAGAAAGAGGCATTCATCAACAGTTTTGTAACATTGTAGTTCTTTGACCTCTATTTCTCATGCTGCTGAATGCTGCTATCAACTGTTATTAACAGACTGAAATCCAAAGGACGTTAAAGACTGAAATATATAAAAAGAAATCATTTTTTCTGCCTAGATTTCTGTAATGCACCATAAAGTCCAGCAATTTAAAGGCTGCAGGTTAGCTTGGAGATGAAAAAACGAAAAAGAAAAAAACTGAGCAGAAGTAGAGCTCAGCTTTTAAGAAACGTTTCACCTCTTAGTTCATGTCGTGGTTCTCTTCTCTTCCTTCTTCCCTTACGTTGCCTTAAGACCATCTGTGATGTGCTGTTAGATGTGTAGCATATGTCCTATAGATAATTTTTTCCCAAGGATTTAGTGAAACATGAGGTTGGGAGGCAGCAGATAAAATATTTGCTGTACTACACTATTGAACTTTCTGCCACTCAGTGTCTTCAGATTTTCCATGTGCATTGATTAAATCAAAAAGAGATGACCTGTTTCCACTGCAGAAAAGTCTTAAAATAATTTAGCAGGGAAGCAGCAGTCATTCACCAGCAGCTGTCTGTCTACATGCTGAAGATGTCATCAATAATGCACAAGATAACATCTCCAAGTTGAAAGAACAGTAGGATTGGCATCAATTTTGCTTAATAGAGCATCATACACAAACTAGACAGTGATACCTGAAGCACTGACAGCATCCATTACATTAAAATGTGGATGTCTCTTATTTGGAAGTGTTGTGTAAACTTGACAACTTTAACTTTTTCTTTTTTTTTTCCTTTCTAAAGTCTGGTTTTAGTTGCACTGAGATTAATATTCCTTTTCTCCTGTTCTCAGAGGGTGACGAGACAGGAGTGATGGATAGTCTGCTTGAGGCCTTACAGTCAGGAGCAGCATTCAGAGATCGCAGGAAACGAGCACCAAGACCACAAGGTAAGATGCTTCCTGTAAACTTGGAGTTATAAACTGAGTAGGCTAAAGTTGTTTTGCAAAGTTTTGCCAACAATTTTCACTGCAAACCATTGGGCTGCTGTTGGGCATCGAGATACTGTGGAAACTCAGCATGCTCTTTGTGATTGTGGATTTTTACCTTGTAATTCCATCTCAGGTAACTGTGTTCTAAGATATGACGAGGGCTTCTTTTGTGTTAGAAATGGCATTTACACATTGCTGCACAAAGTACGTTTGACCTAATTGTTCAAACTGTAAGTATAATTTATTGATTGTAGGTGGTGCCCTGAAAAATATTAGCTTGACAAATAGGAATTTGGGTGTATAACTCATCTCTTTCAAGCAGTGGTCTTAGATTGTTCTGGGTTGGTTGGAAGTTGCATAGTATTCATAGTCAAATTCCATTAACATAGCTTCACCTTTTGGAGGAAGACAGTACTATTGTACTGAATTTAGTTTGGTTTACTGAGCAATTACTTCTTCCTGCAAAGCTGATTTTGAGACAATTTGAGAGAAGGTTAAGCAATGGCAGCGTTTCCTCTGTTCACTTCTCTGCTTGTGATAAGCCACTGGCATACAGTTGGTGAAATGTATTTAGTCTGCATTTGCTTTTCACCAAGAGTCATAGTAGTGTACTGTCTTTTGCAATTTTTTTCATTTAAAGCATGCCTTACAGTAAAAAAATACAGTCTTCAAAATTTATACTTAAAGTTATTTGGCATCAAATCGAGAGCTTGTGTTGGATATGTGCTGCCAAAGGTTTAGCAAAATGGAGTCATCTTTATAAATAAACCTTGTTTATCCACTTAATCCACAGTGAGCTGAGGTTAGATTCATGTTGGCTGATTCTTTTTCAGAGGAACAGAGGAGTAAAGGCAAATTCTACTGCCCTCTTTAGCTAGCAAAGATAGTGCATAATTATTTTTAATTTGCCATATGCATGATCTCATGAAGAAAATAAAAATAAGTTGCTTAATTTGTCCATACGAAATTGTTCCTCTGCAGGATATTGTTGCAGTTGAGTTGTTCATACTAAGAAGTGAATTCTGCTACAGTTCCAGTTTCATTCTTAATTCAGAGCTTGTTTCTGCTCTCAGATCAGAGCAAGAAGTGAAAGAACTCCTCGATCAAAACGTGTTTTTTCTCCATTTTTTAGAAATATCATTGTGAGCTAATTAAAAATCCCTTTGATCTTCTGTTTCATTTAGTTACTTTGACTCCTGTGTTTGAAACTTCATTGTGTCAGTTGATCCTCTAGTGGGGTCTAGCTTTTAAATTTAAGGAGTTGATTGACTTGGGGAACTTACTGTGAGAAAAGGACTAGGTCATCCATTTCCAAGCTCTGGCCAACTGTTAGTCTTCTGTAAGTGGACAAGAGCATTATGTAAAATTTTCAGGGGTAGCTAAAAATTTAGACAAGAGGCAATAAATTTGTTAGTCCCAGTCAAGTATCTGATTTAAACTATTATGTAAACCATAGACTTATAGAATCAACTGGGTTGGAAAAGACCTCCAAGATCATCAGGTCCCACCTGCCATGGTTATTAGACCATGGCACTAAGTGCCACATTTAGTCTCAGCTTGAAAACCTCCAGGGATGGGGAATCCACCACCTCCCTGGGCAGCACATTCCAATGCCTGAGCACTCCTTCTGTAAAACATCTCTTCCTAATATCCAACCTAACCCTCCCCTGGCAGAGCTTGAGTCTGTGCCCTCTTGTCCTGCTGCTGGTTGCCTGGGAGAAGAGACCAACCACCAAATGTTCTCATGTGCTTTAGGAACACACTTGACATCTAGTCAGTAACTTGTCTACGCTCCAGAAGATACTTAAACGTGTGGCTGTGACATCTCTAGGCAGTGAAGTAGAGCATTTAAAAGAGGGACTTTATTTACAGACTTCCACATCTCTCCTTCAGAAATGGAAGGAACAATGACAGTTTCCTAATTGGTGCCATCAGTAGACTCTGTTTGTTCTCCAGAGGTGCATCCAGTGAGATTTTAGTTAACTCCATGCCTCCTATGGTTCAGCAAAAGGAAGAAAGCCTTTGTTATCAGTTCATGGAAGTAATACTAAAAACTCCTGATCCCTCCCCTAATTTTTCATTTCACTGTGCTCTGACGTATCCTTCCTTCTGTAGACTTTCCAATGTGCAAAAAGATTCTGTGTGGTTTCTCTCTCCTAAGCTTATTACTGTATCTTTATTGTTTCTAGCTACTGATTGTAAGTACAGAGATTGTCCTTTCAGTCGATGCTTTGCTTACAGGGGCTATAAAATAATAATTAGAAATTACTTTCTAGAAATGTTGCTTCCTTGTCCAAAAGTATAGTTGTGTTTTGCGAGTTTGCCACTGTTGGTATAATAAAGAACAGTATGAGGTGGCATTTATCACAGTACCAGTTTAAAATGTGCATCCAGCACTACTGTTGCACAATTATCTCTGCCCCTTTCTCTGGCCTCGGGGTATGAAATTATTAAAAGAAGACTGATTCAGGAATATTTTCTCTCTAAATTAGTTTAAGCAAATTTCTGCGCAGAGCTAACTATTCCATTAGGGTTCTTTCTGTTAAGCTGCTAAGATTTTTGCCATGGAATTTAATCTTTTTAAGAAGTATTAATAACTATTGCCCTCTCCTATATATCCAAACTGTCACAGCCACAGCAATATTGTTCCATTATTTCTGTAGCTTTCACTCCTGGGAATGCATAGGCATATGGAACACATACAGGTTCTTCCTGCTTTAGATCTCAGTGTAAGCTCTATTTGTTGAGTATTTCATGTGGCTTGGGTTAGTTTGGGTTAATTTTTAATCAAAAATCAAATCAGTACAGTGGGATGCATAGCAGGCACAATTTAGGAAGTTTTGAGTTGGATGTTACTGAGTTGCTACACTGTCATTACCATTTCCATACTAACATTACACCTGGAGAGTGAAAGGGAGTGAATTTGCCTCTCTGCTTCGGTTTCAGCCCTTACTCTGAATCTTTGATGTCAGCCCTCTGAAGGGCTGCCACCACTTTTTAACTTTAGCAAGATAAAAAGGAGTTGAGACAATAGAATGTTACTATTTCTAATGATAATTTTCATATGGCATTCAGACACTTCATTTAAAACATGAGTTTGATTTTTTTAATAAAATAGTAGGTGCATATTTTCTGTTGAAGTTCATCAGACTTCTAATAAAAATGTCTTCTGCTTGAAGACATACCTATACTTCAAATTAAAGGCTGACTTGCCTGTCTACCTGACTTGCTAAACTGAGTTTACCATTGCATTGATTGTATGGAACAAATTCTTGAGAGGTTTATGGATGCACAATCTTTATTCATCTAAACCGCATTCCACTAAAGCTCTTCAGTCAAGGCCTGTCTGCTGTACTGAAAGCATTGAGAGTCACTTTGCATGTGAGAGTTGTGTAAATAAGCTGATTTTTGACATGGTTACATCTGTGGATTGATGTGATACTGTGATATTATCAGTGTTAAAATGTAAAAATGTGGTGGGAGCACTTGTAACAGATCATGATTTGTGCCCAACTCAAATGGTGTCTGAGTGGCCTTGTTTGCCTTCTTTGGGATGAACAGTGTCATCATCTTTGGTTTTAAGTATCTGTTATGAAGTTGCAAATATCCATAATGGACTATAAAAATGCTAGTCTGAAGATCAGAAATCAAGTATGTATTTTAAACTTACTTCTTCATCTGTTCCAACATTTTACTTTGAGAAGCTGAGTATTTAAAAGCACAGTTACTCCTTGTTGTATAATGGAGTTTTTTTGCTTGCAGTCAGGTATTGTGGACTAATGAGACTCACAGATATGATCCAAGTGCTTCAAAATTATCACATCTATAATAGCAAGAGCTAAACAAGGATCACCAATAATAAACTTACTCATTTTGCCATCATGGCATTATTGTGAGATTTAAGTTTGCTTTTATTTCTAAATATAAATATGAGTTACCGTTCAAGTGGAGTCTTAGCAAATTACCTTAGTCCAGAGAGCTCCATAAACAGTTCCAGAGCTATTTAAAAACAGGTATTTGTGGGATAATCTATTTTTGCTGTGTATGCATTTTGGCTTATGGCTTTTGTAATTAAGGCAGTAGTGTTAGATAATATATTTTTCTGGTGGCTTAGCATGAAAGCAACAGCTCTAATACATGGAGGTTTTACTTGACAGTGAAAGGTTTCTCCCCATGGCTGAGGAGACGATTTTTTAAGGTCCATTCCAACCCAAACCATACAATGACATTTCAGAGGAATTTTGCTTGCAAGTAGGATGAAGGAGAAATGGTGAAAAAGGGGCTAAACCAGATTTTAGCCCCCAGCCTGCTTTGACTGGGTACTCCAGGTTTTTAGATGGACAATACCCCTGAGCATTCAAGGAATGAAGAGACTCTGGAAGTATCTCATGATCAGTATATGGACATAAAGTGAGAAATTCAGGAATTCCATACATTTGAATAATTGCTTTCACCTCTGTTGGTGTGTTAACCTTCTCTGAAGCAAGTGCTGGAGATTGATTACTTGTCTTTAAAATTGATTTTCTGTTCTTGGTATGCACGAGATTGTTCACACGTTGACAGAGAGCATGTAAGGTATTTATAAATAGTAAACTAGACAGGCATAGAGAAGTGGCATGTGACCTCTGGACTTTGTATATATATTCCAGCTGCTTTGTCTAATTCTGAGTTGTTGTTTTCCATTTGATTTGTTATCTTTTGGCAAGACAAGAATTTTATCTGAATAAATGAAAATGTGCCATTAAATGGCAAAGCCATGTGCACATTTTGACAAATGTCCTTAGCAACTTGGTGCTGTGTAATTGTAACTATTTACCTCTGAGTTTGCCATTCAACTAAAGCATTTAATAACTTACACAAGCTAAGGAGAGTTATGAACCACTTGCGTTTATTAGTGTAAGTGCTTCAAAATGCTTTTCAGTGTAGCATGAAGAGTGTTCCCTCTGAGTTCTTCTGGA